ATAAGAATATGTTAAATACATTTTGTAAGGTAGATATGAAATAAAAAATAAAGTCAGTTATCAAGAGACCTCTGTGCTTTATTAACGTCACACATAACATGGCGCAGCCGGTAGGATTAAAGTGAAAGTATAATAATTAATCACTTATTTAATAATCTTTTTGAGTATCTTATAATTTTGCTTGCAGACTGGTCTTGAAGCAAAAGAAAAATATGAAACAAGTCTTTTGAAAAAAGTTGCATTCGTAAACTTTTATATTGAAAAATACTAAAATTTTTGCTTATGGTACATTGTATTTGTATAAGAAACACGACTCAGTTACCTGCTCGTGGTACCAAAGACATAGCTGTATCTAATTTAAAAACTCCTTCCTTGGTCATCAGTCCATATTTGTTCAACACGCATAGGACCCACTCTTTGAGCGATCTGCTATTGATCTACAGAAAGAGAAAATGACAACGTGAATACATACCACATAAGTAAACAGGACCTTAAGCTGGTTACACATTATTCGCAACAACATGGCTGATGTTAATGGGCTGATTTTTTCAAATTCTCCATAAGAAACAATATACAAGTATTATTATTAGGTTTTAATATACCCTCCAGTTCCCAGTCTTCAGTTTCAATACCAAATCTGGCCTCACTTTTGTCTCCTGAAAACACTGCATGTGCCATTTCTTTAAGTTGTCTTCGTGCTCATCCTTCAAACTCTGCAAAATACAAAAATTACATCGTTATAATGTAAAAAGCTACCCTTAACTCCCGGATTCGATTCCCAGTTAAGTCAATGAGAAAAGTGATATTTTCTGGATCTTGTGTCTTCTTGGTTATGGTACACCTTCGTCATTTCAGTTAAGATAAGACAAGGGATTTAGTTAGATTGGGTTATTTGAGATCTGAGTAAAGAATGAAATATTATCTAATATTTTTATATTTAGGATCATGATCCATCCATGATCCATGCAAAATAATTGATCCATATACGACCTACTTACTTTACTGTACATACTTACATTTTGATTTAGACCTACATACATTTGAATAGAATACTTAACTATCAGAATAACAGAAATTATAGCTTAAAATGTCTCTAATAGCATATTGGAAAATAATTTGCGTCCAGTATAAAATAAACTCCTAAAAATACTATTTTGCCTCTGAAAACACTGTACCTATATTTGTTTAGGAAAACCATTATAATAATTAGCGTTCATCACCTAAAAGCCCGGCTGACATTTATTAAAAAGAAAAAAATACCTTTGTCAGCAAGAGTCCATTTTCAGATGGTTTTTTATCAAAATTTAATATCGCCTGACTCTCTTTTAAATCAAAGTTTATTGCTCTGACAATACCAGAGCTTGTCTGAAAAGGGTTAAAAGAAATTGTTAGGTCTTATAATATACCCAAATATTCGACTTCATCTAAGTTGCTACATTCTTGGTAGTTGTGGTCGTATTTTGTGGATTCGTAACACGCTTTACTACCTAAATATCAAATAATTTACATAAGCTATACCTCTCTTGCTTATGTTATTGATAACGGATGAAAATTTTGCATGGAATTAATAGCCTTCGCTTTTTTCTATAACGACTAATACGTACTATTATGGTAATGACATGATTTATGTAAATGTATAATAACATTGATCAAATAAAAAGTTTATGTGAGAGGTATAGAACAAATTTTAAGATCAATGTACACAAAAAATCAAGTAATCTACGAACAGAAAAGCAAACTTACTGTAATTCAAAAGAGAGTTTGGAATTTTTTAACTGTTTAAAGATAAAATCAGACACTGTTCTCGAAAAGACTGGTGAAATATCAAGCATAAGATTAATGGCAAATGTGACAGCTGATAACAAGGTTTTAGGATAAAATTGATGACAGAAAAGCTATTAGAGAAACAGAACTTGAAACATTATCAGCAAAAGTATTTAATTACCCACCAAGACGAATGCGATGAGGAGTGTTGAAAATAATAGTGATTTCATATTTAATTTTTTTTTCCTGGATATTACATCAAAAGTCAACTGATCAACTGACAGAATGACCGCGCAATAACGTCAAGATGCGCTTGATAGAATTATGAAAGAGAATATAATTGTTATAGAACTGTTATATGTATAGATTAGTGCAACTACACACTATAGCGCGCGAGAAAGGCCTGTATAATATCATCTTAAGCTAGGTGTTAATATGAAAGAGAAAACAAGACATAAAGAACGCACCTGTTAATGAGATAGATAGGGACAGAAGAAGATGGAAAGTCACAAAAAATATCCCTTATAGCCCCTAGCCAAAAATTTTGTCATAATATCAATTTTCCTTATAAAAAAGAAATAGTATATTAACGAGACGAAATTCCAGGGTTCCATAGTGAATTCCAGGGTTAAATTTGTGATTTTTATTTTGCAGAATATTGTATAAAATTTCCATTCTCAGTATGATAAAATGTTTAGATAGAAATAAACTAAAATATTATATCGTTTTTTATTACAGTTTATTTGGACATAATGTGGCATTTTTACATATATTTAGAGTCAATTTAAAACTAAACGTAATAACAGCAACCTTATTAATTTTATTTCTAAAATAATTTCTCTAATTTAAAAAATCCTAATGATAAATTTGAAGAACTTCCATTACCAGAGCTCATTAAATATTAGATACTTATCCATTGCAATGATAATGATGGAGAAATGTCACAGTCATTATTATTATTATACTAGCTTTCGCCAGCGGCTTCGCCCGCGTGGTCCCTAGGTAAATGTTAAGTGGGATAAAAAGTATCCTATTATCTTAGTCAGCTAATACCCTATCTGTATACCAAATTTCATCAAAATCCATTCGGTAGTTTCGGCATGATTGACCGACAAACATCCAAACAAAGAAACTTTCACATTTATAATATTAATAGGAAAATTATTACTTAATTCATAATTTATTACTAATTAGGTATATGATTCGATAAATTATATTTACTTATTTTAGATTTATATATAGACGAGTAACAATTATGATTTAATGTTTTTAATATGGGATATTATATCCTAAATTAAACGATTATTATTATGATTGCGGAAAAATGTCTATAAAATATAATATTTTCAAAAACAGGGTTTGTTATAGCCCTTATTTCAAAGTGACTCATTTATCAGATATAAGAGAATAGAAAATTGTAAACATTATTGTTTAATAGAAATGCCGATGAGTTCATTTACGTTCAGGTATCACTATTAAATCAAAACATACTATTTCATAACGAGATGGTGAAATGGTGACCCATTTCTTTTTTTATTCTGTTCTCTAAGCTTGGATGTAGTTTATTGTTTCTAGAATCTATAATGTAATTCTTTAATTTCCGATGAAACTAGCATAAAGTGTGTAGTTATCTGTGTAATTCTTAGATCCTACTTCTTTCTGGGCCAATAATTTTAAATATACTTCTTGTTCTGGGCTATGACATTGACATACACTGTACAGTCAACAGAATATCAGGTTATACAAATCTGATAAATTTCTTCAACTGATTTTCTTATAAGTGTAGAGTAGGAATAGAGTAGACGTTAATGTTTTGAGTGTAGAGTTTAAAATTAAACGGAGAAATGTGACATATTGTGGTCATCTGAGTGGTCAACAGTATGCATAACACTTGCATTAAGTTTTATATACAGTTGTTATTTCTAATCCCGATTTTCAAACATATCCATTAAAGTTTCCTTCTTTCATACATGGAATCAGGAGACAAAAAATTACAAGCAAAAAATTTAGTTTACTTCAAAAGTTCACAGCTGATTTGAGCCACAATTTCTTTTTTTTTCTCTTTATTAGGAATAGCTAACAACTACACATTTGATACATTAAATATCACCTAAATAATTATACATGTAGTCAAATATGCTATCCACGATTTACTAATTAGTTTACAGTAATTTAAAAACATCGTGTGATGCTGAGCAACAACCAATGATCACTCTCCGGCGCTTAATGAGGAAGCATTACAAAATTAAAAATTAGGAAAAGAAACTCGAATTACTAGTCAATAGTAATTCGAGTTTCATTTTAATGAATAAAAAAATAAGTTATGTTATCATTGGAGTGCTTCCAAAAACTATATAGTATAGGACCTCTGAATGCAAACATTCTTAGCTTATTTACAAAAACATAGGATATTTAAGGAAAGCAGATTATATAATGGAAGATCAAGATTTTTTTTTTTAGATCAAACTGTCTTGTGTTATGTTGTCCCCCATCACATTCTTGTCTTCAGACAATCTTCCTGCGTAGAATATTTCGCTGTATTCAAAATTATTATTATTTATTTTTATTTTATTGCTCAGTCTATGTTACATATTATAACAATGATATTTGAGAATACAAACAAAATAGAAAACAATTTGGATATGTATCAAATGAATAGCATTCGTCATGTTAAAATATTGAAGCGCTTCTACGTTACTTTACTTTATATATTTAGGTAGAAATATTTGACTATGATTTCCCAAAATTTCTATTCTAAATTGTGCAAGCTATTGTGCAATATATCCTTATCCAATATACGATACAACACAAGGCCTTTTATACTAGCCTCCTTAATCAATTTTAAACTGGTAGGTAGCCTACAAACATTATCCTTATTCGATTCAATTCCATACATAGGAAAGGATTTTGTTTTCTCCTTTAGTCGTGGCTAGTAATTTTCTTGCTTTTGGTTACGTAGTTAAAATAAAATAAAAAAACATATACAATATCATCATTCTTTGTTTATTTGAAACTAGTAAATTCGTTTAGGCGGTATGGTTTGATGTAATGCGCACAACTAGATATTTTTACACTATTATGTCCATACACGATTGCTTACAGTAATTAAAATTGGAATGTAATAGATGAAAATACAAGTTAACCATACCAATGGACTCTGACATTAGTCTTCATTTTTTATTGATTCGAAAATAGAAAAACATGAAAGAAGAATTCTGATGCAAGAAAAGAGTCTTGATACAAACTAAAATCCTGTTTTACGTTTGAAAGATGAGATTTTTAATCTAACTGTTAGTTTACATGAAGATGGGGTGCTTCGGGTCCTTCTCATGGTAGCATTTTACATAGTTCCAAGCGGTCTGGTGAGGGGTATTGCCCTTGTTCGCTAAACAGGTATCTATGAGCTTCTCCACTTGGGGTTTGTCAGCTGTGAACAATAACAGAAAATTTTAAATTTTTTAACTGTCAATACAGAATATACGTATCAACTGCTACAAATTTCGCAAAAGTAACGAAGAAATTAATTAGTACTTTATTAGTAGCTTTCTCTAAACATTTTCTAAATGTGTCTAGCATAAGTTACACAACTTATGCCAGTAGAGACTAAGTGGGCAAAAGAAGCTAGTTATTAAGTTATTAAAAAGGACTTCTGAATCAGTTACATATTTAGCCAAACATTACAGTTTTGATCTCATGTATCTTATATTATAATTTTGTGCTAGTATTATTAAGAAGATCAATAGCGAGGTGGTCAGCTTTTGCTGCTGCTGCCCACTGCAGCAACAACTTCAAATACCCAGCTGTATTTGCAGTTGTTGGTATCTGCCGATCTATACTGGCTCTGAGTGGTAAATCATGAAAGTTTTCTCTATGTGATTCTATCCATAGAGGAGGCCTGTACCTCAAAACTGGGGCCATCAATGGGGTGTTGTTAATGTACACATATGTTTACAATTTCTCGAGAACTCACCGGGATTTGCTACTTTAGCCAAAGCAACGTCCTTCTTAAATTTTCCTTCCTTTGTCATCAGTTCGGATTTGATCAACATGCAGAGGGCATACTTCTTCAACGCCTCGTTATCACTCTGTAATATAAGCCATACGATTAATGTAAGAAGGAATTATAATCGTCGATATAGATACTTGGTGCCGATTATCTAGATTTAATTATATACTAAAAAGTTTATTTAGCTTATTTCGTGTAATAATAAATTTTATAATAAGAATGTTTTTAATCTCCAGCATGGTTTAGTTTCTTTATGGATTTTTAAGGTTCAATTAAAAAGAACTAGACCTTTTATAATACGAAATATCAAGCCGTTTCAATCTAAAAATCTATCTTACGCGATATAGTCTTTATATATATTTATAGTCTTTATACTCGCTTATAGAGCGAGTTAGTCTTTTAATGATCTGAGCACGATTCTGGATCTGGATCTTTTTAACTCTAGCTGTAAGTCGATAAGGTTCAAGATATCAAAAATATTTTTTGAAATTATAAGACAATGATTATCTGACAGAGAAGGAAATAGGAATAAATGTATTGCGATTCTTTGTTTGCATGTGTCCTTTGTGTAATGTGTGTCTTTTGCCATACCTCACAATGTGTATACGATTAAATTACCGAGTGAACTCAAAATTGTTACTTAATTTTAAGGCTAACTGTGTGGATCTGTAATTGGTTATCAGATGTATGTAACGATATTGTAAGATAATTTATAATAAGCTTGCACAATATAGAATAAAAATTTTGGGAAATCATAGTCAAATATTTCTACCAAATCTATAAAGTAACGTAATTAATTAATTTGATATATATCCAAATTGTTTTCTTATTTGTTTGTATTCCCAAATATCATTGTTATAATATGTAACATAGACTGAGCAATAAAATAAACAAAAATATTCTTACTCAGACAAAATCCTCAATTGTATAAGGTGTATTATTTAAATAATGTATTATATAGTCAGATATATGGACGTAGTCATAAACAGAAACTTGTATTAAGATAAAAATAACAAAAAAGTATTTTACCTTGAAGTCGCCAGCTTTGAGTTTGTTCACCAGTTGTTCGTCAACCTTGGTCTCCGCCAAGCACTCTGACTTGTGCTTTTTTAGTTTCTCTTTCTGCTCGTCAGTTAAAGCCTGAATATAAAAAGTAACCGATAAATAATAAACACAACTTCAGAAAATAAAAACACAAAATAATGCAGAAGTAGAAATTGGATTATCTTTAGCGATATTGAATGCTGGCTGATCAATTTATCAAGGTAAACCAACGCGTTTAATCTCCGGAGCATCACAAAGAATATTAGAATTTTTATATAACCGATAATACAGCTTTGTTAAATATAAACAATTTAAAATTAAAACAAAAGACAATCTCTAAACATCGTAGAACATACATAAAAATAACTTTTATAAAGTCATATAAAAATAGGTTACATTACAAACAATTTTTTAACACTTACTTGAGCCACGACTAGGCAGACAGCGAACACGATAAAAGCCTTCATATTGGTCACGTGATATATAAATGTACACAACACGAATACAGTCTATGTCTATGCTGTGAACACCCAGTGCCTCCATTTATATAGTGCACCAGAATCCTGCTGATCGTACTCCACAAAAGATTACAGGGGATCGTCAACATTTTGTTGATCGCTTAAATAATATTTTATTTTAAGAAATTTATATTATTAAAATATATACGAATGCTACGTTTGAATGGTAAAGACGAACTATGAGGAGCATAGATAATGGGTGGGACTCGGGACTTACAAAGGAGAACCTCATATAAATTTAACTTTTAAAGAGCTGATAAAAAATTATGTCATAAGTTATTATGCAGAACAGAGAATATCATAACATAAACTTGATTTCGAGGAAAGACTATTAGCATACACTCAAAACACAAAGCAGCAAGATTGAAGTAATATAAGTATAAAGTATATATAAATCTACTTTGTGTAAATCTTAAACTGGCCATTTTAATAAATAAATGACAACACATTATTTCCATCAATAGCTATGCTAAATAGTTTTGATGTCTTTTAAATATGATAATTTTCAGAGCATTGAGATTATACCAGATAAAAGGAACTCAATAAAAGAAGCCTGAGCGTTCCATTTTTTTTTAAATTTATCTACAATATTCGCATAGTAAGTAATAAATGTACTTACAATTAATACATACAATATAAGGTCACATGCATAAAATATTTTGGGTCCCCCAAAAGGTTTGTTTCTTCTGGCTGGCGAGCCAGTCTGGAATAATCCAGGAGTGATTCGTGTCACAGAACTCGTAGGCGGACATTAAACACACGAGTGGAATATGTATTATGAATATTTTTACGTATATATTTATATTATTTATTATTAAACAAATTTAATATTATATTAATATTATATAGATCATCATCAACATGTTAATGATGATGATGATCTATAAATGTATTTATTAAGACTTTGAAGTTTGTTATTGAAAGTAAAACAAATTTAACAGAAGCTGACATTTTATTTAACACGCTCTTTTGATTTTCCAAAAGTTTCAATAAGCCTTAAAATATGGCAACATCTTACCTTCTTAGTTCTCACATATTCACATTTTGTCGAAGACTTTTCATTCATAATATTATAGTATAGTTGAATAAAATTCCAAATTTTCACCTAGTGTGGCCAAACCTTCGTTGTAACTGAAAAATTGCAATTCTAGTATATTGTGTCTATAGGATTTGATAGGACAGTGACTTATATTAACATACTTACTACAATACTTTATATAAACATGAACCTACTTTATTACAATGTATTATTTTCACTTAGTGTGGCCAGATTCTCGTCCTAACTGATAAATTGCGGGTCTAATGACATCCAATGGACGTCCATCGTTGATTTATAGATGTCCGTTGACCCTATTGGCCTCTACAATCACCTGCTGAAAACATCACAATAAAGGACTGGCAATTTGACAACTCCCAAGTGCCGAGTGTCACTATCAACGGTTCTTTCGATCCACAATCAAGTCAACAATAAAAAACATAGATTTCCATGTTCTGACATGTGTGATAGATAACACATAATAGTTATCTCTCTTATATACAGAATTTGTAATAAAATTTTGTGTAGTATATGCAACAGAATTGCTTTATAACTAACAGACTTTCATGCATTTTTCAACAAGGAATAATGTAAATTGTAAGAGAAATTTTGTCTATGCGAATTTTAAAATTATTAATTTATAAAGGTAATTTTCATTTCATTATTTTATTACAATGATATACTATTTGCAATGAGGTTCTTAATTGTCTTAGGGCATTTTTTAGCAAATCAATTTAATGACTAGTGCATAGATGGAAAGTAAAAATTAAGAATAACTGAAAACGTGTGTCACGGTAGATATACATTTTTTTTATAATAATATAGATTTTGGAATAATAGCCTAATATTCCAAAATCTTTGAACTGTACATCATTATCAGAGATCATAGAAATCGAGGAATAACAGGTCAAACCGCGGGAAATAGATAGTCAATAATAATTTAAATGCGACTACTTATCAGATCGTCGTCCCCTTTAAACCGGTTAAGGGCGCAGTAATGCAACAACAATGAGACGAACGTGGGAGTTTATGGACCATTCACAGACCAACAATTGGACTCTAACCTTCGGATCGAATCGATTCTAGTAGATACTGGATTTTTTACAAGTTTTTATTTAACTTGCCTTGTTAGTATTTGCCTAGATCGTGCGCAAATCTTGGAGCTTTAAATTGATCCACTTCCTGATGTCCGATACATTTGAAATTTTGCATAGACATGTAAGTAAGATGACAATGGAATATTATTTTGTCAGTAAGAGGATATAGTAAGTAAGTAAGTCATAGAAATTTAGTGATGAAATGACGCAACTGCATCGTGTTTGTACTCGCAAGATCTGTCTTTATGAGGATTTGGTACTGGAAGCTTTTCAAACCTAGGTCTGGTGATGATGGAGCTGGAAGGTGGTCATGGGAACTTAGCAATGAAATAATGCAACTGAATCTTGTATGGGCTCTTTAGATCCGCCTTTATGAGAACAACAACATACTGAGACAAAACTAAAATGTAAAAAATAAATATATAATAAAAAGGTCTAATTAATTTTTTTACAGTAATTCACTTGAAAAAGCTTGTTGCGCGTAAAAATATGTGTATTTCGTCATCTCCGATTTCATTAGCGCTACAAGCTTTTTAAGTCAATTACTGTTAAGGAAACTGCTGACTATAAGTATTTATAATATTTAGAAAATTTTATCCTATATTCCAAGAGCTATATATAATTCGATGTCAATTTTGTAACGTTTTTACTAAAATTGAGGAACTCGATGGCTTAGTGGTTAACGCGTTTGATATGTGATGCGGAAGTTTTATAACCTTTTATAACCTGGCAACTTTCATAACCTGGCCGTTACGTATGTCTCGCGCTCCTCCGTGCTTTGGGAAGTACGTTAAGGTGGTGCAGGCTGCATCTTCAGTCGTCAAAACCTAGCAATCGGCGCTGGGCCAGCGTGGTAGGTGGTTCAATCTCTCTATTCGATTCAATTGGATTCCATACACCGGGAAAAATTGTATCCCAGCAAGGCTGGTGAAGATGATTTGTATTAATACCTATCACAAATATTCGATTGCCTGTTTGTTTGCCCTGAATATGCACCGATTTTAAAAATTCTTTCACTTACGGTAAGCTACATCACTCGCGAGTGAGTGTAATTTACGAGAGTTAGTTGCTAGAACAGTATACTTATCAAATGCATTGCTAAGATCCCAAGTAGCTAATGCTGAAATCCGAAACAATGAAGACACTCGTCACCAAAACGTGAGACAGTATAGGAAAGTATTGTTAGTGCTATTCTGATAAAGATACAGCGTTGAACACAACGCTCCCACGGCATTAGGGGTTCAATCAAATAAACCCCACTTTACGTTTTGCTTTCTTTGAACCTCTATGTAGCTGAGCTGTCGCACAGCTCCATGTTCAACGGTGTTATTTTAACATAATGCCCAAGATGATCAGGGGTCGACCTGGGACTTCAGAGATACCTTGAAACCAGCGTGATACATACTCAACTACGAATGTCGTAATATGCTGTCTTAGAAAACGGAATACTAAAATTATTATTAATAAAATAACATTTGAACATCATCAATCCTTTTACGTTTCCATTGCAGGGGTTCAAGCTTATGGATAGTTAAGAAGGATGAACGGGAGAGTCATGGACTCTCCACGCTGGCCCGATGCGGATAGAGGGTATTAACGACTGCAAATGCACCCAGGACCAACGGCTTACCTTACGAAGTAACCTTAGTAACCTTACGTACCTTTCGAAGCACGGAGTAGCATGAGCTACTATTTTTTAGTCACCCATCCTATAACTGACCTTTGCGAATGTTGCTTAACAAAAACAATCAGGCCACGACGCTTACCTAGTACGCCACCGAGCTACAAAGAATTTCAAGACATGTTAGGGATTCCGTATTCAGTTACTTTTCTTTACTTTTAAAATTAAAATTCAAAATATGATAATGTGCCCTGCTAATGTCAGAGCATAATAGAGCATAACGTTGTTGATATATGATATTGATTTTAAGAGTGTTGCGTTGTTGAATCATTATCCATCACATTCATTAGAAGTCGATGATAATAAATATTGCAGCAGTTCTTACGCCAATGTTTGGCATCATATCGGACATGCGCTTAAATATTTTTATAACTAATATTACGGCCGTCTGTAGAAGTCTGAAATAAAGTTTCATTATCATCCTATGTATGTTTACTAACTAAATTATAATAATTTTCTATTTAAAGACAATAATAGCAACAAATTTTCTCGTATATAACCCATAATTGACAAAAAAAAAAAACTTGAAAAGTATTTTTACTTTTAATATTATAAGTGATTTAATCGTATTCTTCTAAGTAAAGTCTTTTATTTGATGTGTATATCATGAGAATACACAAGTAACTGGGCCGCCGCCATCTTGAGCCCTCGGCCATATTAGATTTAAAAATGATATAACTTGTAACTATGAAATATCACCTAAACTTAAGCTGTAGGTGTATCAGTGGACAACTGTTTGCAATATTTGTCGAAAATACACACAAAAAGTTTGTGAAAAACCGAATAATTCAAAAAGATGTATGTAAAATCATTTAAAAACACACGTAAAACCACAGTATAAAATTTGTTTCGGTCGTAAAACTCATTATTATAATAATGAGCATGTGATGCGTCAAACCAGCAATTACATTCGCACAAACTTCAGGGTGATACAGATATTCTGCATTGCGCAGAACAAACCTCGAATAACTTCACTTTAGTTATCTTAAACAGAAGACGTACCGCAGAAGAATTACAACAATCCTGTGATAATACGATAAATAATACGATTGGACAATTGCGGAAACAATTTTGAAATAATACAAATTTGTTTTGCGTTATTGATGTTTAGGACAAATATAAAGACTGATAGTTCATCTGGCTTTAAAGGTGAGTGGTGGCATTAGAATGTGTTTACCTTTTCTGTCTAGCTATAAATTTAGAATTTACTATAGAAACAAACGATTGCAAATTGTTGAAACATTGCATTACTAACATAAAGAAAACAACATTTTTTATTCTGTAATTAATTATTATATCATAAACTATTTAAAACCTTTATTTCCTGTTGTGATTTATTTTGTGTAACAATTAATTTGTGAAATTTTGTTTGACGTATTCATTAAGTATTAATATCTCATTATAAAATGGGGATATCATCAATTAGGTTATCAGTAAAAAATAATTCATGTTGTGCTGAATGTCAGGACGTTGACATCGATGAATTAAAAAAATATGCCACCACTGGTCGGGGTTGCCCGCACTGCGCCCGATCGATTTTATCATCGCGCATGCGCAGAAACACAACTAGAAGTCAGTAGCGGAAGAGAGCGAGTCTCGGTTGGTACACATCATGCCGAAACCTAAACCCGTCGAAGACTTGATTATACCACCGCAAGACCAAAAGATATGTGGTACGATATGCGTATGTCAAATGACGGCAGTGCTGAGTGCCGTTTCACTAGTATATCTCACCGTAGCGATATACATGCCGTATACTCGAGCGATAGCTTCAGGTATCGATCCCACACCAATTATGTGTACCACAACACGAGCAGTCAACAAAGACAATTGTGACTGGGGATCCTGTGGAGAGTGGTGTCTTAGCAAGACTTCTGGCGCATGCATTCAAATCTATGTAAATGTTAGAAAAAATGGTTCATCGTTGTTGCTGTCTGAATGTGGTAGTGCTGCAAACAAAACCTGCTACGGAATTGACCAAGAAAACGCCAAGAAGTATCACTGTATCCGCGATGAATGCAAAAACCTTACAGGCACATTTAATTGCACGGAAGGAAAATGCATCAACATTACAGACGCGTTTGAGTGTGCATTTAGAGAAACAGATCCTCCCTTAAAATGTTCCGGTAGAAGGGGAAAAATAACTTGTATAGACGTTCATGGGTTATTTTATTGTAATAGAGGAACTTGTAGAAAAATACGAACGCCTTATAATTGCGACAGGCGCTGTGTTGACATTCCAACCCGTAACAAAAACGTAATAGTTTTAAGTGGTGATAGAGTATTTCTGGCAAAATGTGCGAAATTAGCTCAGGAAGAAGGAGGGCAGGTGGTTTGGAACGATTCTGGGGAGGAAGTATTAATGTTATCGTGTCACGCAGTCCACAATGGCACATCAGGCGTAGTGGCTATTGATTGCATCAACGCAGCTTTGCTTCCGCGTTCTGATATATCAGATTTAACCAATTTCACTTACCTGCAGTATCTGTATACTACAAAGGCAACACCTAATCGTCTTATTGCTCCTTCAGAAGTTGAATTAACTTTAGCTAATGACAGTCGCTTGATGATCAATTTAGAAGGTTGTGTCAACACTTTAGCTGATGAATGCAAGGAATTTCTCAAAGATTATGGTCGTGATGGCACCGATCATAACGCGAAGGCTAGATTTCCTTGTTTCTATATGGAGAACAGCCCAGATACGGTCGTAGCAAGATTTGATTTGGAGACAACATACCGTCAATTTTTGGTGGCATTAGTGCTTCCTACGGTACTGGTGGTGGTGTCATGTATAACTTTGATGTTATGTCAGAAAACTGTGGTCGTGGGCGAAGATGCCAAAATGAGATTCAAGAGTTGTACCAGTGGTCAAGCTGAAATGCAGATGTCTCCGAACGATCCTGTTTCCCCACTCTGAGATCAGTCACGTGAGATATTTTGTGCTTATAGGAAACGAACGAATATAATATGTATTGCGAACAAATGCGCAATAGCATGAAGAACATTCTCGACATATCAGATTGAACCAGCGATGAGTTACTATATTTTCTAATAAACTTTGTCAAACTTTACAGTCTCTTTAAAACTGTAGTATGATAAATAAATCACTCATTTACTAGAGATGATTTAAAACGAATAGTTTTCACAAATGCACAAACTAAAAGTTTCGTCCTTGACCTTAACATAATTCGTGACTTTAAATACTGACCTTAAAACATATTAAGTGGGGTAATGGTTGGTGGATAAGTAATTCTCTACGTTGCTTGTATTGAATATTTAAATACAATTTTCAAAAATGTATTCAATAACCTAACCTACCTTAATTAGTTCTAAAATATTTTTGCGTAGTTAGTAATTTAAAATTTGATGAGTAGCACTACTATTAATTAATTTATAATTGAAACTCACTCACTTATCAGGATGCTTCATCTTCTTAGAATTTAATAGTGTTAAATATAGTTTCTGGAAGCATACCTACTTTTACAGTATCATCATATATAAATAACTTATGTTTGCTTTTACTCAATTATCTCTTTTTCTATTTTCAGGCGTTCCCCTCCTTCGAGAGGGTCCGGCTAGTTCATTAAGAGACGACTAAACACTTGCAATGCTTTCTACTGGCTGAATCTCCCCAATGTCTTCGATGAGCAGATCCCGTGCAAGCCTCTCCCCTGCAGCTTCGGAGAGGTCAACACTACCTATGGGCGCTTCTGCAGAACCAGGAAGTCCCGAATTCAAACCATTGGAGCCAACAAGGGAGCAGCTACTATCTCACTTTTTCGAAAGATTTAAATTCTATACGTCATTATGTCTTGGTACATCAGCCATACTCGCTGTGTTTGCCTTCCTTTTTTTAATACCTTTTGTGGTGGAACCAGCCATACAGACGATTCTAGCTGAGTTTGTACCAGAAGCTGGTATCTGCGCAGTATCTGAACATGTCCATGCAGAGACCTTAACCAATTGCACATGGGCCTCTTGCAGGGAAGGATGCACGACAGCTCATACTAAGTGCCATAAAATCAGAGTGAACCTCGCCAGAATTCCATTTACTGAAGAGTCTTCGGTGCCAACGGAATGGGACGAAACAGATTTAAAGTTTCTTATTAACCCCGAGGGATGTGGCTATCCACCAAAAGTAAACTGTTCGGTTTTTGCTAATGATTACGCTGGGCCGAAAGCTCCAAAGATATTTCCATGTTACTACAGTTTGACAAGGCCCGATTTGGTTGTGGCAAGGTACTCTTGGGAGTCGACAGTACGGGGCTTGATTCTGGCCCTGGTATTACCGACGACTGTGTTCGTGTTCAGTTTAAGTGTACTGGCCTATTGGCACTGTCGATGCTGTGACAGAGCCTGCAATAGACGAGTCCACGCAGAGTCCTTCACTAGTAAAGAGGAGTAAGTACATTATTACTTCAATGTCTGTAGAGATAATTGATGATATTTACAAGTTTTGAAGACCTACCCAAACGAATCTAAAACCAACTGTGCTCAGAAAAATTAAAGTACGGTCTTAATGTCTCTCCCACATTATTTTACCATGAACAAAGAACATGCTTACTGTTGTTTATTCATTATAATCTTTATACAATGAAATCTTCAAATCTTGTAATTGTAGATTTATTTATTTTTTTAGGTTATTGATCTTGGAAAATGATGGACTTACAGGTCCCATAGCGATACCAAGTTTGGTGATGGAACGTCGTAGTGGATTAGATTTTTGGAATGGTTAATTCACAAGTATGTTACGTATTATTTGCACTGTTTCGAGTGAGCTGTTCACTCTGCTGTCAACTACCACTGTATCCGTCAATCAAACTTTAGATCCAAACCTTAAATTTTCTTTTCAAATTGCACTTGGTTTATAACATGCTTAATACACTTATTAGGACTTACAATTTTAACATTATTAACTATATACTTAACGATAATATCAAAATAGATGCCACTTCTATCAACTTCATGGATAGTAAAGTCTTAATGCTTTTAGCGGAACAATAACACAATAACCTTAGTACAGCAACACAAATATTGCTTATTATCTTTAAAATAATACAGTTCTGATTTACATACTTATGGACTTTTAACCTCTTCAGCTGTGAGTACCAAATAGTGATCACGCCAAATTTGATGTTATGATCTAGATATGTTTAATACTATCTCTAGTCTTTCTATTTTGACTCAGATTTTAGTAGTGTATCGTATTAATTTGTATATAACTACAACTATATAAAGCTATAAGTATATCATGTATCATTAAATAAGAAAACTAGTTTATGCAATCAATGTGTAGAGTCAAGAGTCACACAAACAAATGAATCTTTTAGCAGTTTAAGTTCACGATAAACAACTTCTCATTATTGTACAATTCAGTTCATACTGAAGTTAGTTTATTGATGATAAATAATAATTACTTATTATCATGATGTTGATGTTTAAAATCTAGCATTAATTATAAATATACTTCTTTACTTCTAAAACAACTATTTCTATGAAGACCAGAGAACTTTCATAAAAGTTATAAATGTTGAGGAACATGTGTGTCGTTCTGCCTGTCCCGTAGGGAATTTAGCAGTTTCATGACAATATAGATGGGACGGTATTAACAATATCCTATTATTTGTTTTGCAGCAGCAAACTCTTATGCGAGTTGGACGATGACCCGAGTGACGAGGTATTCTGACGCCAAGCCTCCGCCTCTGCCCGCCGTCGCACTTCTCCCCGTAACTATACCCAACTGTAAACTGGCGTTGTTATTGCTGTCAGAGTTTAAGCACACAATTGATATGTTACTATCTGAAGTACTGATCATTACAGAACTGATGGACTACGAGGTAAGTGAAATGAGTATATGCTTTAAACGCTCATACCTTTAGAAGGTTATTAAACACTGAGTGCCTTGAGTTATGTTTGAAAACTACAAACCATGCTATATAAGAAAGTTATTATGAAAATAGAATAGAACCTATCGGGTAACAAAACCAGCATAATCGTTTGAAAAATATCATGATCTGTAAAATTCACAGTATTTAGACATTAACATTCAGACAAGTCAACTATATTACCTGTTACTTTATCAAACAGAAAGAAATTATATTTTTGAACTAGAAAATGAGAATTGTTTTGTGAAAGTTCATTTAGAATTCAACATTATTACAGCAGAAATCAGTTCTAATGCAATTTCAAAGGGTCTCAAATAGAATATCGATTTAAAATTCTCTACTGTAGATAATACAGGAAACGATTATGTGCTTAAACTCAAGATAAAAATGAAGCAACATAATATATGCGGTACGAACACTAGATCTAATATCTACCTAATATTTATATTTGAAAAATATCATTAAGTTTAAATATTATATACATTAAATAAATTTATTTTTTATTTGAAGATCATCGAAAATAGATACAGGATAGACTTTTATCAGTTAAGCTTCTGGCGTTAAATTTGAAACTCGATTATTAGTGAAGAATTAAATCTACAGTTTGTACCGTTCATATTATGTGGAGTATTGTATCATTTACAGCCACTCTTACGAACACACGATAAACTAATATTCAAAACATTAGTAAACCCAAGTATATTATACTGAAATTTTGCAGATTCATTTGTCACTGGACTAACATTAAGATATTGGTTGTGTTTTGAATCGATAACTTCTACAGTGCTATTAATAAACAAGATTTAGCGTCACAGTAGATTTACGCTATATTTGAAATTTCAGTGTAAGTGCAAATTCATATAACACAGAGAATAAGCAAAACTGACACTACCTTCTAGGAGTAAATGTTACTCTCGCAGAACCTCGTACTAGAATAACCTTTGCTGAGTCTCTAATTTATAATATGAATTTTGACTAATACAAAGTGCAGTCTCAGCGTAAATTAATAACACTCACTGCTAGTGACTTATAGTCGAGTAATTACTCGTAGAGTGTTACACTTAATATTCGACTTTCGAAATTAAGATGAATGAAAATACATTAAAATATGATTTAATTATTCAAATGTGAGACAAGTTGACACGGATCCAAGAGATAGAAGTAGATTAGAACCAGAAAAAATAATCTGGACTCTGTAGCCTAATTGTTTTATTTTAATATCTTAAACAATGACTTTTTACATTTGAAAGATATTCACGAACTTCACACTATAACTATTTGACGTATCGCAATTGGATCGCGACATTTTTTTAATAGATAGTGAATGAACGATAGCTTTTTATTTAACGTTAATCGAAATTATCAAAGCGCTTGTTACAAAAACTATTGGGAAATGTCAAACGAAACGTATTGTCCAAGATGACATTTATATCATTCAAAACATCATTCATTCCAAAAGCTTTAAAAGTTGCACAATTCCATAAATTACTATCACAACAGCTATACGTTTGAAAGGGGTTGTGATATATTTTAAAATTAAACTATTAGGCAACAGGAATCGCATCTATTTCAAGAGTAGGTACTCAATATTTTCACCAATGAAGACTATCCAAGAAGGGCGTTTGATCCTTTTACCCGTACCATGAAACTGAATATAACTCCTATGCATTTATCGTGTGTTTATTTGAGTTATTAAAGACAATATAATATGCTTAAGGCTTTGACGTAAACATTACAAAGTAAAAAAATATCTAGATCGTTCACACGTATATACTTAGGTATATATTTTTCTTTACATTTGTGTTATCAATCCGGTATTTAAAAACAATTGAAATAAGATATGAATGTATAAAATCATGATTTGAAGTATTGAAATATCGAACACATTATAGCAATATTTGCTTCAAATACATTTATTACATAGTTATTTTATTTGATTAGCTTTTTATGTTTGCATTAGAGCCTTGAGCAGTGAATTAACGTTTTACCAAAATATTAAACTCGGAGCCTTACTAAATATGATTCTAAATAT